CCTTCCTTCCTTCCTTCCTTCTTTCCTCACTTCTTTTCCCTCTCTCCCTTTCCCATTTCCTCCCTCTATTTTTTCTTCTTAACAGCTTTATTGAAGTACATGTAATTGACCCATCTCAAGCATACAATTCCATGTTTTCTGCATACTCTCACAGCTATACAACTATTGTCCCTATCTGTTTTAAGAACCACTGAAAAGAAACGACGTTGTCCATTGCCATAACTTTACAGTCTTCCTCAATTCCACCCTAAACTCTACCAGTGATTTACTGATGAATCAGTTACAACAGACCGTGACTTTGTATGCAGAGTAACACTGTTTCACAAGATTTGTGATACTGTCATCCTCCTGATCTCTGCCATGTTAGTTGTTGTAGTCACTGTGTCAACCCACCTTGTTGAGAGGGTCTTCCTCTGTTTTAGGATTCTCTACTTATCCAAGTATGATATCTTTTCCCAAGGACTGGCTCCTTCTGGCAACACACCCGAAGTACGTGAGATGAAATTTCACCACCTTTGCCTTTGAGACACATCCTAGTTGTACTTACACTAAGATGAATTTGTTCTTCTGGCAGTGTATGGGATATTCAACCATTATTATATTCTCTGTGTCTACGTATTTGCCAATTCTGGACATTTCATATTAATAGAATCATAAAATACATGGGTTTTAAAGTTTGCCTTCTTCCACTTAACAAAATGTATTTAAGATCAAGCCTCATTGTAGCATAATTCAGTACTTCATCTTTATATTTAATAATGTGATAAAGAACTATATTGCATTGAATGGATATGCCATAGTTTATTTATCCATTCACCTCCTGATAGAAATTGTGAATAATACTGTTAGAAACATGCATGTATAAGTTTTTGCATGAAAATGTTTTTCATTCTTTGGAGAACAGTTCCAGGAATGGAATTTCTGTGCCATGTGGTAATTCTATCTTTAATTATTTGTGGAACAACAAGATTTTTTCCCCAAATCAGCCACACACATTTTTCCTTTCCCAACAATAATGCTCGAAAGCTCCAGTTTCTCCACTTTCTCACCCATCCCTGTTACTCTCTGATTTTTATAACAGCACATTCCAGTAGATTTGAATTATTACCACTGTTGTCAAGTCAATTCCAATACATAATGACTCCTCACCAGCTTCCAAAGAGGAGGGGACTACCCATATTTCTCCAGTGATGCCCTTGGTGGTTTTAAACCACTGACCAATCAGTTAGCAGTCCAACACTAACCACTATTCCATGTTGTTGTTGTATGTCATTGAGTTGGAACCAACACATAGCTGGTTAATAACTCAATCAGGTATTTAGAGGCAGTAATTGCATAGGAGGAGATTGCCCATCTCTCCTCACAAAGCAGCTGGTGTCCTCGAACCATAAGCCTTTAAGACTCAATATGCTATGGAGATCCTAAACCCCTGTTGATGTTGTTGTGTACTCTAGAGTCAGAACCAAACCATAGCTGACCATCCAGATGGTTTTCAGAGGCAATAATCACACAGGAACCAACAAGACCTTGGGGAGGGCCTTTGTATTTAAAAGATGGTTATTATTGTATTTTGGAGGAACATTCTTCTAAGTGATACAGCACTCTTCTGTCAACACGCTGTACTGAGGTAACCTGGGGTCTCTGTGATGCTGAACCTTGTGCCACTGGGGTGCAAAATGCCATAACAAGTTACCTGTGCTGAACAGTATTTGATGAAGCTCCCAGTTTAAGACAGGTTTGGAATCAGGAGTGGCATCCACTTCCTAAACAACATGAACTATGAACTATGAACATTGATAAATGATGATAGTTATAGAAAGGCTTCAGGCCTTTTGTTCATAGGGTCACTATGAGTAATGCTTAACTCAATGGCAATCAACAATAACAATGACACAGGAAGAGATTGTCTATTACCTTCCACAGAGCAGCTGGTTGGCCTTGAACAACATGCCTTCAGAATTGCAGCGAAATTTCTTACCACTATGTCACCAGAGCTCCCTGATCTGATTTTTTTTAATAGTCATCCTAGTATTTATGAAGCGATAGCCCATCATAGATTGACTTGTATTTCCCTGATCCAAACAAAATAACCAAACCTACTCCCATCAATTCCATTCCCACTCATAGTAACCCTCCAGTGAGTTTTCCAGGCTGTAAATCTTAGTGGGAGGAGACTATACATATTTCTCACTTGGAAAAGCTGGTGGATTCAAACCACCAGCCTTTTGGCAAGTAGCACAACATGCCACTAGAGTTCCCTGGAGAAGAGATATTTAGCATCTTTTCATGTGCGTATTAGATAATCACTTTTCTTTGGAAATCTATTTCTTCAAATCCTTTGCTAGTGTTTAAATAGATTACTTATCCTCTTACTGGATTTTCATACTTTTTCAAATATTCTAGATCAAAATCAGATAGAAGACTTGTAAAAAGTTACTCTCATTTTGTGGGTTAAGAGGAAACCTTGGTGGTGAAATAGCTAAGCACTCAGCTGACAGTGGAAGGGTCAGTGGTTTGATTCCACCCACTCTTCTGTGAAAGAAATGACTTGAGGCTCTGCTTTTACAAAGATCACGGCCTAGTAAGACTTATGGGGCAGTTCTGTCCTATCATCCAGGGTCACTACATCACTCTGCAGCAGCATATGGTTTGAGAGGTTCTTAAATGCAAAACACAGTGAGTTACTTTTACTTGTAAAGGAGAAGAATGAATGAGAGGGAGGGAGTGGGCAGGGAGAAAAGTGCAACAATGAATGACTGGAAACCCTAAGTCTCTGTAAACTTTCATTAAAATTAATAAAAAAAATATTTTTTTTAAAAGGAACAGAGAGTCATAGAGGGCAGACAATGATTTTGTAAAGAATTATCTCTTGTAAACTTTTTGTCAAACTAGTGGCTCTTCTACCTTCCAACTTTAGGGATGTACTTATCCTCCCCTGAAGTGCAAAGCACTTACCCTCACCCGGAGTGAATTGCTCTGTGCCTCAGTTACTCCACGTGGGAAGGTAGCTGGAGTTCTCAGGTGATGCAATCAGTTGACATGCTAGCTGCTAACTGAAAGACTAAGGAGACAAGTCCACTCAGAAATGCCTCAGGAGAGAGAATGGGAGATATCCTTCAAAAAAAAATAATCAACCACTTTTTGCTACTTTCTTTCTGCTTCTGCTCCCGCTCCAGGTGCTGTGCTCCCTCATCGCCGGGGCGCTGCACTACCTCTACCTCGCCTCCTTCACCTGGATGCTCCTGGAAGGGCTGCACCTGTTCCTCACGGTCAGGAACCTCAAGGTGGTCAACTACACCAGCGCAGGCAGATTCAGCAAGATGTTCATGTACCCTTTTGGCTACGGGATCCCAGCTGTCATCGTGGTTGTGTCTTCAGGGATCAACCCCCATGGATATGGCACGCCTATGCAGTGAGTTGAACAATGAGGAATGTGTACAAATCTATCTCTAATTGGTACCAAGGGGAAGAAGGAAAAAATAAGTTGTTATGGAGTGTTATGGAGTGGTTCCATTCTGGAAGATGGTTTGTCACGTCTTGAGGGTCAAGGAAGCAATGTTTTTGTTGTTTTATTAGTGGTGCTTGCCCCCCCCACCCCCAAGAAGATGTCAACTGACTGGACTTTTGCCTAACTTAGCTAACAATGACCCAAGGGCAGAGCATCTAATTGGTTTATAGTCAACAGCATTTGTTGGGTATGCCTGTCTTTAAAAATACTATAGGACCCAAGGCCATCAGACCAAATTAATTAATTTTGGGATGGACAGTTAATTCATTTTAGGAAGGACAGTTCTTTAAATGGTACAGTAGTTGTCTGTCTATTTGCTTTACTGGAGTAACTTGGAGTTGCTGTGATTCTGAACACTGTGCCATAGGTGTGTCAAGTACCATAACAGTTACTCATCATGGACAGTGTTTGGAGGAGCTTCCAGATTGATTCAGGTTTGGAAGCAGGAGTGGCATCCAATTCCTAAACCATGTGGCTCTGACAACTATGAACATAGAGAAATTATGCTAGTTATAGAATAGGGTTCGCATCTTTTGTTCATAGGGTCGCTATGAGTTGTATTTGACTTGACGGCACCTAACTATTGCTAAGTGACACTAGTGTTGTCATATTTTTGAAGGAACATTCTTTTAAGTTGTACATCACTCCTCTGTCAATTTGCTATACTGAGGTAATCTGGGTTGCTGCAATGCTGAAACTTGTGCCATTGGGATGTCAAATGCCATAACAGTTGCCCAAAGTGGACAGTGTTTGATAAAGCTCCCAGTTTAAGACAGGTTTGGAAGCAGGAGTGGCATCCACTTCCTAAATCACATGCCTTTGGAAACTCTATGAACTTGGAGAAACAATGATAGTTATAGAAAGGCATGAGGTCTTTTTTTTTTTTTACCATAATGTTTTATTTTAATTGTGATTTTAACAAAAGTTTACAGAAAAGTTAGATTTTCGTTCATTCATTGTTGTGCGTTTTACCCCCTCTTCTTCCCTTCCCCCTCCCCAAGTTGACTTTTATTTTAATACTAGGTTTTTTTTACAAAATTTGAATGCATTGTTTTCCAGAACAGATTTTTCCAATTTCCCTCACTGCCCCCATCAAATTGTACAACCCCATGATTAATCCTCTCCTTCCCCTACACATCCTCATTCCTCTGCTTCCACCCTCCCCCACCAGGTCTTTTGTTCATAGAGTCACTATGAGTAGTGCTTGCCTCAAAGGCAATCAGCAATAATAACAACATAGAGTGCTCATGAGCTCTGTCTGCAATGCCTTCTATACATCATCTCTTTGTTCTCAAAACAAACCTAAAAGGATTCAAGAAAAGAACCTGATAAAAAGAGAATTACTAAACAGGGATCATGAAATCCAAACTTTATGAATCTTTTGAGGAAGGGTGACACACCAAAACAAGTTCTCTGGAAAAATATTTAAACCATAACCAAAAACTATCCCCTGAAGTTATCTCTCTTTTCTTATTTTATATTGGTTTATTCACAAAGTTCATATACATTGTTTTTCACACCGGATCTTTCCTATTTTCTTTACCCACCTTTTCCTCCACCCACCTTGCCCATCCTCACCCCTCTGTTCCCTCATACTCATTCTACAAAAATGGATGTATAGAATTTGTCCTTACGGAACTGAGTTAGTTCACTCAGCGTAATGCTCTCCAGTCTTTCCCAAGTTAGGTAGTGATTTACAAAATCATTGCTCCTCCTGCATGCTGCATAGTATTCCATCATTTGAATGTATCATAATTTTTCAATGCATTTGATGGTGGTTGGACATTTAGGCTGTTTTCATGTCCTCGCAAGGGTGATTAACACTGCTGTGAACATTGGTGTAAAGTCTCCATTTGTGCCTCAGTTCTCATTTTCTCAGGGTCTATTTCAAGCAGTGGGATAACTGTGTCATATGGAATTTCTATGTTCAACTTGTTGAGGAAACACCAAAACCTGACGTTATCTTTAAATCAAACAATTCAAAAATGAAACGAAACCTAGTCATCAAATAAATTCCAAATAAATGGAGAGACTTTCCATTGTACTTCCAAGTCTGTAATTCTTTTTTTTTTAAACTAAGAGTTCACAATTTTATTTTCCCATGTCACAACACAAAAATTGCTTTTTTTAATCCTTTGCCCATTACATCACTCAGACGATTCTGTGATAGCAAAGGGAAGCAAGTCTTCCTTGTGCTCTTAAGAAAACACCCATAGTCACAGCACCAGGATCTCCCGGTGAAGTAGTACAAGTAATATAAAACGGACACAAAGAAGCTGCACTCTGTCCTTATCTGTCTGGTCGAGTCATTCCTGGCCATGTGGGCACCATCATGGGACGGGCAGGGGGCCTCATCATTGGGGGCCCAGGCATCATTGGCATGTGGCCTCCCGTGGGTGGTCTCATTCCAGGAGCAGGTCCCACTGGCATCATCCCAGGAGGAGGAGGACCCATCATTGGTATCATAGGAGGTCCCCCCATATGGGGTGCTGGCATCATACCAGGGCGAGGAGGGCCAGGCAGACTGGGTGGAGGTGGGATCATGGCACCTGCTGGAGGAGGCGCAGAGAACGGAGTAGGAGGTATCTTTCCTTGTTGAAATGCAGCCGTTGTTTTGTCAATTAGGCTCTGAGCCTGTTCTTCCATCCATTTTTGATAGTAATTTTTCACATTCTCTTTGTGTTTCCTGCCACTGCAATGTGTCTTTCTCACAGGTGGCGAGTCATGAGTGAGGTACGTGTCGCGGTAGTCACAATAAAACTTGGGCATGTTGATCCACACAGGCCGTTCACTGAACCCCAAGTCTGTAATTCTTTATGAGTACAAAGGTATGCAGTTCAAACCCATCAGCTGCTGCATGAATGAAAGGTGGACAATCACTTCCTGTGGAAATTTACTGCTTCTGAAAATCTGCTGGAGGGTCAGTCATGAGTTGGTTCCGACCCCAAGGTGCAAAACAACGTTTCTTTGCGGAGGGAGACTTTCTTTCCTTAGTGAATTTGAGCCACTGACTGTTTGATTAGCAGCCCGACACATAATACGTTATACCTCTGAGTCTCCTTACGTAGTTTATTTTAGAATGTCCACTCTGAGTATTGCATTCCTTTAAAGAATTATCTGTATATGATCAACTTGACAACAGCAACTCGAACAGTGAAATGAAAAGCTTAGAAAGTAGTGATAATTGTGTTAATGATGGGGAATTGTTTGAAAAAGAGTATTGAGAAAAGTGGCACAACATTATGCATATAATTCATTTACTGAATTACACACATAAATCCTTTAAAAAAATCTATTTTTTGAGTGAACATTTACACTAATTCTGTTTTTTCAGACACTAGTTCATAGGTATTAATTATCATTCATGAGATTAACTTACTACAATATCTGAATACACCTATATTTTTTTCAATTGGTGTTTTCTGTTGTGTATCTTAATATTTCTGCTCATTAGCAAAATAAACTGATGACCAGAGAGACATGAGCAGCTTGTCCAGGGTTACACAGATAGCAAACAAGAAAGTGTGTGGATTCTTCAATGAGAGAGTCTAGCTTCAGATTCAAAGTCTTACAATTAATAGGTGAGAGATCCTGGCGAGGTTGGCTACCCTTTTATGTAAAATGAGACTGTTATGGATTGTTGTTGTTGTTGTTGTTGTTGTTGTTAGGTACCATGAGGATGAGTATGACTCGGGGGCCCTATGAAGAGCCAACCTGAAACGTGCCCTTTCCTGTGCCATCCTCATCATCTCTGACACACTAGAACCCATTGCTGGAGTCACAGCATCAATCTATCTCATTAGGGGTCTTCCTCTCCTTTGCTCACCCTCCATCTTTCCAAGCAAGATGTCCCTTTCCAAGTACAGCCTAGCCTCGCTACTTATCCAAAGTATGAAAGACGAAGCTTCACCATCACTGTCTCCAAGGAGCACCTGGCGCCACCCTTTCCAGGACATATCTGTTTGTTGGTTTGGGGTAGTCAATACTCTTTCCCATCACCACAACCGAAAGACATCAATTCTTCTTCTACCATCCTTATTTGTTTTCCAACTCTCTGATGCGTAATAAGTGATTGAGAAGACCATGGCCTGAATCAGGTACACTTCAGTCTTCAAACTGACATCATTGCTCTTCAGTATTTTGGAGACGTCCCTGACAGCAGACTTGCCGAATAGAATATGTCTCCTGATTTCCTGACTGCTGGTATCAAGGATGTTGATTGATGATCCGAGTAAGATGAAATCATTAACAGCTTCAATCTTTCCTCCATCTTTACTTGGCTCCACAGTCAACACTCTTGGTAACAGCAGCCAGGAAATCAGGAGATGAATTGCGTTGGGAAAGTCAGCTGTGAGGGACCTCTCAAGAGTACTGAAGTGCAACGACGTCAGGCTGGAGACTTAGGTGGACCTGACTCAGACTATAGTCTTCACAATTGTGTGCTATGCATCGGAGAGTTGGACAGTGGTTAGGGATGATAGAAAGAGAATTGATGTCTTTGAGCTGTGGTGCTGGAGAACAGTATTGAAAATATTATGGACTGCTAGGAGAACAAACGGGTTTGTCCTGGAGAAGGTGAAGCCAGAATGCTCCTTGGAATCAAGGATTCTGAGGCTTCGTCTGACACACTTTGGTCATGTTGCAAGGAGGGACTGGTCCTTGGAGAGAGACATCATGTTTGGCAGAGTGGAGGGGCGGCGCAGCAAAGGAAGACCTTTAATGAGATGGATCAATTCTGTGAGTGGAGTGGTGGAAATGAATGCATTTGCGACGGTGAGGTTGGCACAGGATAGAACAGCGTTTAGAGCTCTTGTATATAGGGTCGGTATGAGTCGCAAGTGATTTGATGGCACATAACAATAACAACAACATAATAATGCTGACTGTTGGCCCTGCGGTATAAAGATCTTCATCTTCTTGATGTTGAGATGTAATCTATACCAAGGCTATTGTCCTTAATCTTCTGCAGCAAGTGTTTCATTACTTCCTCACTTTCAGCAAGCAAAGTTGTATCATCAGAATGACGCAGGTTGTTGATTAGTCTTCTTCCAATCCTGATGCCACACTCCTCTTCATAAAGTCCAGCTTCATGAATTATTTGCTCAGCATACGGATTGAACGGGAATGGGGAAAAGATACAACCCTGACATACACCCTTCCAGATCTTAAATCATGCAATATTCCCTTGCTCTGTTCATATAACAGCCTCTTGGTCTATGTATAGATTCCATATGAGCACAATAAGGTTGTCAGAAATTAAACAGAATGCACGAAGATAAGCATTCTAGGCATCAGTGAACTGAGATGGACAAGCATGGACCATGCTCAGAATGAACAGCTAAGGAATGAGAGTGTTGCTTTCATAGTTATAAAGGCAGTTTCAAGATCCAACCTGAAGTGCAATGCTGTGAAGGATGGGATACTATCCACATGCATACTAGGAAGAACTTGTTAGTACAACTGATATTCAAATTTATCCACCAACTTAAGCCAATGAGGAGGAGATTGAAAGTCTTTACCAACCTTTTCAGTCCAAAATTGACCAAACATGCAATCAAGATGCATTAATATAGTTAATGGGAACTGGAATGCAAAAGTTGAAAACAACGTAGAAGAAATTATAGTAGGAAAGTATGGACTTGGTGACAGAAATGAGGCTGGAGATTGAATGATCAAGTTATGTGTTCTCAATAATTTATTCACAGCAAACACCTTTTTTTATAAAACACAAACAGCAACTTTATACATGAATCTTATCTGAGGAACTGCACAGGAATCAAATTGTCAACTTTTCTGTAAACGTTGGTTAAAATGACAATTTTTTTAAAAAAATTAAAAGTTAACAGGAAAAAAAAGAAAATCTTCCTATCTTTTGATGATCCCTTGCTTTTCTAAACAGTAAATCTTTTTCCAAGGGCTGGTGCTTCCTGAAAACAGACCAAAATTATTTCATTATGTCCCCCAAAACATTTGATGTAAATCCTAACCCTTCTACCTTTGGGTATCCTACCATCAGGGAATAGAAACTTCTTTGCTATGAGATTATCAGTGTCAGTTTCCGTGTGGGAAGTAGCTGTACCAACCCAGAGACCTTTGTGCAAGCAATATCTGATGCCCATTGTGTCTTTGACGTAGGAGATGAGGCTGGTTTTAGCATGTGTCTGCTTGATATTGGTGGTGGCTTTCCTGGCTCTGAGGATGTGATGCTTAAATTTAAAGAGATCACCAGGGTAATCAATGCAGCACTGAACAAGCATTTTCTATCAGACTGTGGAGTAAAAATCATAGCTGCCCTAGGCAGATACTATATTGCATCAGCTTTCACCCTTGCTGTTCATATCATTGCTAAGAAACAGACTGGCTCTGATGGTGAAGATGAATCGAGTGTACAAACATTTATGTATTATGTGAATGATGGCATATACGGCTCATTTAATTGCTTCCTTTATGATCATGAGCATGTAAAGCCCCTGCTGCAAAAGAGACCCAAACCAGATGAGAAGTATTATTTATTAGCATTTGGGGACCAACATGTGATGGCCTGGATCGGATTGTTAAGTGCAGTAACCTGCCAGAAATACGTGTGGGTGACTGGATGTTGTTTGAAAACATGGGTGCTCAAAGAGACCATAACTGACACCCAAGCAGATATATGCACACCCATGTTTATCCCGGCTTTGTTCACAATAGCAAGGAGTTGGAAACAACCTAAGTGCCCATCAACAAATGAATGGATAGAGAAGCTGTGGAATAGTCATACAATGGAATACTACGCTGCATTGAAAAACAAGGAACTCATGCAATTTTATTCAAAATGAGTGACCCCTGAGGGCATCATGCTGAGTGAAATAGCTCAGTCACAAAAGGACAAATACTGCATAGTGCCACTGTTGTAAAACAGGATTGACATCGGGGTTGGGAGGAGACTGAGAAAGATGCGATAAATGATGTATTCTGCACTGAAACAGATGAGGGATAAAACTATTTAAAAGGGATATGTGATTAGGTATTATTATTATGAAAGGAGTCCAGAATGAAGGCTGCATAGTGGAGTGGACTTGGTGGGAGAGATTGCATAACAATTAAAGAGTTTTTCTTTTTCTTTTCAAGGAAATGATTGATTTGGGAGGGAGCAGGTGGGCAGGGAGAAAAGTGCAACAATGAATGACTAGAAATCCCAAGTCTCTGTAAACTTTCATTAAAATTAATAAATTTAAAAAATACAGTATCTTGACATTTAAAAAAATAGAGTTCCTATCTCGCCACATCCTCTCCAACATTTATTACTTGCTGCCTTGCTAAACTTTGCTACTGTCACTGGGGTAAGATAATATCTCATTGTGGTTTTGATTTGCATCTCTCTTATTGCCAGTGATTTTGAGCATTTCTTCATGTGTCTGCTAGCCATCCAAATAACTTCCTCTGTGAAAAGTCTTTCCATTTCTTTTGCCCTTTTTGAAATTGGATTATCAGTCTTTTTCTTCCGGAGGCCCTAACAAAATTTTATAACAAAGGTTTTTTTAATGAGTTTTCTTTTTTAAAAAACCCCTTTCTTGCAATGGTCCAGAATGGAGAAGGATATCATGTTTGGGAGGGTGGAGGGATAGCACAAAGAGAGGAAGACCCTCAATGAGATGGGTTGACTCAGTGACTGGACTAATAGGGGTATGTGTGTCAGAGACCATAAGGTTGGCTCAGTACAGAGCAGGGTTCAGAGCTGTTGTACATAGTATCACTAGGAGTTGCAAGCTACTCCATGGCACATAGCAACAAAAACAGAACGGAACTCTAGGTAAGTCTTATTATATATGTTGTATCATTTATTTTACAATACTATTTTAATACATGTGGCCATTATTGTTTCCATTTCCAGCTGCTAGATTAACCTACAAGATTCTTGCCACTAGGCCACAAAGCTCCCTGTACTATTACATTTATTATATCGTTTCTTTTCCAATATAACTTTAATAAATGTGGCTACTGTTACTTTTATCTCCAGCTGCTGGATTAACCTACAAAAAGGATTTATTTGGAGTTTCATAGGACCCGTATCTGCAATCATCTTGGTAGGTTTGTAGTATCTTCACTTTCTACAATATTTAAAGGTCACTATATGTTCAAAGTGGGAGAAGGATGGGCTGTCTCCTCCCATGTGGTTAATTGCTTTTGAAAACCCACTAGAAGGTCAGCTATGGGTCATTTCCAACCCAATGGCACACAGCAACAACAACAACAACAAATAGGTTCTAAAAGGAGCTCTGGTGGCCTATTGGTAAGAATCCAGTCCTGAAAACCTGCTGGAGGGTCCGCTATGAGTTGGTTCTGACTCAACAGTACATAATAATAACATGTATGTATATACATGTATATACATACAACAATGTCTTTCTCACTTTACAAGAACAAGTGCATGGGATTATTTTATGCTAATGGGAAGGGAAGAGAATCCCCTTTTGTTTCTAATATAAGGCACATGATAGGTACTGTTGTGGACTGAATTCTGTCCCTTCCAAAATAAATTGTGCAAAACCCATTTCTAAACCTCTGTCTGTGCTGTCTTCAAGGAACAGAGGTTTTTATCTGCTGTGTTCATGAGGTCATATCAGTGTAGGATGGGTCTTCAATTAACCACTTTGAGAATATAACAAAGGAGCAAATCAGACCCAGAGCAATCTTGAGGCAATCTCAATGTCTCTGGCACACCTGTCCCTACTGTCACAGCCATTGTATCAATCCTCCATCGCTGTCAGAGAGAGCCCTTCCCCAGAGTCAGCTACCTGAACTCAGTCAGACCTCTAGCCTTCTCAACTATGAGAGAATCCATTTCTGTTTGTTAAAGCCACCCGCTAGAAAACCAAGGCAATAGTTTTACAAATATGTGTTCGATAAAGAAATTAGTGCCAAAAAAGGTCAAGGCTAATGTGACAAATCTAAAGCAGGAGTGGCATCCACTTTCTAAACAATGTGCCTCAGGAAACTCTATGGACTTTGATAAATGATGATAGTTATAGAAAGGCTTCACAAGCCTTTTGTCCATAGGGTTGCTGTGAGTCGTGCTCGACTCAACGGCAATCAACAACAACAACGTGACACAAGTTAATAGAATTTGGAAAAGATATGACCAGTGCATTACATTTTTCTGCAATCTTTATATTTCTATTTCATCCTTAAGATGTAGTAAGAGGATTAGTCAGTATAGGCTTGCTTTTCCTGCAATAACAGATAAGCCCAGTCATCTTAATGGTGTAAGACAATAGTTTACTTTTTCACCTTCATAAATTCCAGTGTTGAACAAAAGACTCTCCATGTGGGATTCAGGTAACAAAGCAGCTTTAAACTTATGAGTAGGAGCTCTTGTAACACAATAATTAAGCACTGGGACACTAATCTAAAGAGGTTCAAATCTTTTGAAGCAGCTGCTATGGGAGAGATAAGACCTAACGAGTTGCTCTGAAAAGATTAAAGTCTAATGAAGTCTACTAGGCAGGTCTACTCCGTTCAGTAGAGTCTCCATAACAAAATCAACTCAACAGTAAATAATCTGATGACAACCAGAGTTGTTTCAGTGTTTGTCTCATGGCCTGTTACAAACAGCTCCCGATATATTGTTGTTCTTGTTGTGTGCCGTTGTGTAGCTTGAGACTTATAGCAACCCTGTGTACAAGAGTTCTAAACCCTACTCTACCCTGTGCCAACCTCACTGTCTCTGACATGCCTACTCCCATTACCCCAAACACTGAATCGATCCATCTCATTGAGGGTCTTCCTCTCTTGTGCTGTCCTTACACCTTCCCAAACATGATATCCCTCTCTCTCCAAGGACTGGTCCCTCTTCACAATATGCCCAAACTATGTCAGACAAAGCTTCAGAATCCTTGCCTCCAAGAAGCAGCCCAGTTTCACTCTCTCCAGGATGAACCTGTTTGTTCTCCTAGCAGTCCATGGTATATTCAACACTCTTCTCCAGCACCACAGCTCAAAGGCATCAATTCTCTTTCTATCATCCCTAGTCACTGTCCAACTCTCTGATGCATAGCACACAATTGCGAAGTCTATGGCCTGGATCAGGTGCATGCACCTTAGACTCCAGCCTGATGTCATTGCTCTTCAGTACTCTGGAGAGGTCCCTGACAGCAGACTTTCCCAATGCAATTTGTCTCTTGGTTTCCTGGCTCTTGCTTGGTACCAAGAGTGTTGATAGTGGAGCCAAGCAAACTAAGGCTGTTAACAATCTCAATCTCTTCAACATCGATACAATCTAACTAAAAATCCTCTACATTTTGTATGCTCTTTACCTGTCCACATTGGCCTATAAGCATCTATATTTTCTTCCCACAGATAAATTTAACCTTTTATGTAATAATTCTATGGATATTAAGAAGCAGACTGTCATCCATCAATAAAGAGGTGTCCAAGATCCAAAGCACAAGGTAAGGTGACTTTGAATAATTAGGAAAATTTAGCATAAATTCTATCTCTAGTGGGCTAGTGATAAGAAGCTATATTGCAATCCCAAAGGCACATGATTCAAGTCCACCAACTGTTCCATGAGAGAAGGATGGGCAATCTCCTCTCATGCAATTTACTGCTTCTGAAAACCCTTTGAAGGGTCAGTTACCAGTCAGTTCCTACTCAGCAGCACATCATGAGAACAACATATTTCTATGGCATATTTTTCCCATGCAGGTGGTACAATATTGATTTCCTAGACATTCAAGAAATGAAGGGTGTAAATGAGAAGAGGAAATTGGCAGAGAGAAGTAGGTGTTTTCTACTGAGCACATTTTTATTTTATTCTGTTTTACATATAAAGTTCGCTTACATTGTTTTTCACACTGTATCTTTCCCCTTTTGTTTACCCATTCAACCCTCCACTCATCAAATTGAGTGACCCTATAAGCACATGGAGAAACTATGAAAGTTACACAAGTGTTAAGGGCTTTCATTCATAGAGTCACTCTGAGTTGTCTATGACTCAATGGTGCCTAACAACAACAACACAGAGAGCTCTGTTGGCCTAGTGGATAGAAAGTTATGCTACCAAGCAGAGGTGGGTGGTTTTCATCTGTGGCCCTTAGGCCTGGCTTTAATTGGTTTTAGTCAAACATTCTTCTAAGTGATATAGCACTGGTCTGTCCATTTGCTGTACAGAGGTAACTTGTGGTTGCTGTGATGCTGAACCCTGTGCCACTGGTATGTCAAATGTGATAATGGTTACTCATGGTGGACAGTGTTTGGTGGAACTGCTTGGAAGCAGGAGTGGCATCCACTTCCAGAATAGCTTGTCTCCAGAAACTCTACGAATGTAGAGAAATGATTAAAGTTACACAAGTGTTCAGGTCTTTCATTCATAGGGTCGCTATGAGTCATCTACGACTCAATGGTACCTAACAACAACACAAAAGAAAAAAAAAAACAATGAATCACCCCCGTTCCTTGGATCCTCATACTCATTCTACAATAATGATCTTGTAAAGTATTTGTCTTTATGAAACTGAGCTAGTTTACTTAGCATTAAGCTCTCCAGTCCCTCCCAAATTAGGTAGTAATTTACAAAATCATTTCTTCTCTGTGCTGCATAGTATTCCATTGTGTGAATGTACCGTAATTTCTCAATCCATTCCTTTGTGGTTGGGCATTTGGGCTTTTTTCATGTTCTTGCTATGGTGAATAATGTTTCTATAAACATTGGTGTACAAGTCTCTGTTTGTGCCTCAATCTTCACTTTCTCAGGGTATATTCCAAGCAGTGGAATAGCAAGGTCATATGTTTTGATCAAAAATTTTGTAGAAGAATCCTGATCTAAAGATGGACATATAACAATGTTGAACAGAATTTCAGATTCCTTTTTGGAGCCATTTAGGCTGCTGAACGTCTGGAACTATTGCCTTAAAATAATCTTTTATCTGAAAATATCTTTTGTAATCTTTATTAAATCTAACAGTACTTTACCTTAATCAATAATGAATGTCTGTCTTTCACATTGTGCTCATTTCAACAAAGAACTGTCTCTATGGAATAAAATTGGCAATGGCAATTCAGAAGGTTAGATAAACCAGCATTTTTGGAGAAGGAGAAAGTCAGGGGGGAAGGATATGGATGGTTTCACAGCTTGACACTTGGCATTGAATTGTATGTGAAGAAATTGATAAAATGATGCATCTTCTGTAAATAATCTCAACAGCAGCAATAACAAAATTCCGTTAGTTTGAAAGAAAAGAATAAGTAATTACTACGCCAGCTACTGTATTAGAGATCTATGTGATGTCGCTGTTATGTACCATTGAGTTAGGACTGCCCCATAGCTGACCCTGCAACAGGTTTTTCAGACAGTTAATTACTTGGGAGGAGACTGCCTATCTTTCTCCTGTGGGGCAGCTGGGGGACTCGAACTGCATGCCTTCAAGATTGCAACACAGCTTCTTGCCAAAATACGTATTCCATTTTACAAGTAGACGTAACAGTCAATACAGTACATTGACAACCTGTATACTACAGGATGGTTTCAGTTTCATATAAAGATTCTTCCTTTTGCCTTTGAATTTCTTTCCAAAAAGGTCAACAAACTATATAGCCTGCGGACCAAAAGTAACCCACCATGTTTCAGTGCAGCCTATAAAAGGAAACTGTTTTCTTTTCTTTTTGGGGGAAAAAATAATTTTATTGGATACTGGATGAGAACTTTTACTGTTGTTCTTGTTGTTGTGGTTACGTGCCATAAAGTCAATTACTATTCATAGAGACCCTATGGACAACAGACCTAAACCCTGCTCTATCCTGTGCCAATCACACTGCCTCTGATACACCCATCACAATTACCCCAGTCACTGAATCAATCCACCTCATAGAGGGTCTTCCCCTCCTGCGCTGTCTCTCCACCCTCCCAAGCATGATGTCCCTCTCCAAGGACCTGTCCCTCCTTGCGACATATCCAAAGTATGTTAGACGGA